GTCAACAGTAGGGATTCTTCAATAAAGTCTTTGTTGTCATTCAACGAGAGACGACTTGTTTTCATGCAAATTCTTTCATTGAGAAATACTGCACCAAACATCTTAATTAGATGTAAAATTGCGCAACTAAGATCTCCTCTGCAAGACCTTCAAATTTATGACAGATTTCTTGAGTTATCTTAGATTGGCTTCGGCGTCTCAAAATGGACAAACAGTACTATTGCCGCTTTTTTCAAGCGAAGGTATTTTAATTCATATGCGAGCACACTCATTTGGTTCGGCTAGCCGAGTTCGCTTAGGCACCAGCCGAACTGAAGCATGCTGACGCCTTTATTCAGCCCACTATCTAATGCTCTCCCCAGTCTGCAGACCTCCCAGCAGGCATTTGAACAGGTGTGGTTGTTCTTACATTTACGTTTTAGTCATTTAGCAGACTTACAGTTAGTGAGTGCATACATTATTTTTTTTCATACTGGCCCCCCATGGGAATCAAACCCACAACCCTGGCGTTGCAAACGCCATGCTCTACCAACTGAGCTACATCCCTGCCGGCCATTCCCTCCCCTATCCTGGACGACGCTGGGCCAATTGTGCGCCGACCCATGGGTCTCCCGGTCGCGGCCGGCTACGACAGAGCCTGAATCCGAACCAGGATCTCTAGTGGCACAGCTAGCACTGCGATGCAGTGCCTTAGACCACTGCGCCACTCGGGAGATGCTCTTTGCTCTTGGAGCCCAAACACTGCAGCCTGCGTGTAGTATTTGAGAATTTGTGTTTGTTTGGGTTGGCAGCGGTGCTGAGGCAGAGCCAGTAAGGAAGGCTGTGGAACTTTTTCTTCCTTGCTCTCTTGCACACTGATACACACAAATAAACTATATATATTTTGCCCCTCCTCTCTTTTTCTCCTCTCTCTCTCTCTCTCTCTCTCTCTCTCTCTCTCTCTCTCTCTCTCTCTCTCTCTCTCTCTCTCTCTCACTCACATACTCACTCACTCACTCAGTGCTGTAGAGCCCTGCTGTTGGCCCTTGTGCTTGGCCCAGTAAACAGATTCCTGCATCAGATTACTGAGGGGAAATGAGAGAGATGTGTTCCTCAGGATCATCATGCAGCACAGAAGCACTGTGACCCTTCAAAGTGCTGCTTCCTCCTTCCTCTCATCTCCTGTCCTTTCCTCTCCTCCCTACACTCATCTTCACGGAGGGAGGTGCAGACAGTGCCCTCCCCCCTCCCTACAATAGCAGGAAATTAGCTTTAAAACTGCAACATTTTCTCTCAGCCTAATGGCAAAATGTGTAGAATAGCATGAAATTAGCTTTAAAACAGCAACATTTTCACTCTGCCCCATGGCAAAATGGGTAAAATTGCAGGAAATTATGTGCTTTCCCACAAAAATTTAGAAATAAATAAAACACTATGGGGGAGCCTTGTGAAACTGCTGTACGTGTGTGTGTGTGTGTGTGTGTGTTAGATGTGTCCGAATATTCCATCATGAAATTGAAGTCAGGAACGGGTACTGTAACATATTATGTAATATTTTCCACTCCCTCGATTAGTGACTGAAGCAGGGCCTTGGGCGCGGTTTGGAGAGGACCGTCCAGTTGGAAATTTGACATCCCTAATGGAAAAGTATAACATAACAGACAGAGGTATAAAAATTAGAGTGTCAAAGGATTGAGCGAAGGATTTCCTGCTTTTGGAATTATCCTGGAGTTCCAAGTCCGTACGACAAGTAACAACAACCCAAATATACCCTCTGACAAATATACCCTATCTAAGTGGAACTGATGGTGTCAGTGAAGCAGTGAAAATACTGTAGGAAGTCAATATTTTACTTTCAATCAAATTAATTCAATGGAATCTTGGGCAGATACTTAGGGCTAATATGATATACTCTGATATTAATTGAATATTCTATGCAATAATTACCATAAGCCTACTGCAGGCTATTCCTATTGTGTCAAAGTAGGCTTGGGGTGGAAACGTTCAGTTAGTTAATCGGGAGAATCACCAATAGGCAAAAAAAAATACAACTTTAGGTTACATCAGAGTATGTAGGCCTGAGGAAGCTCTCTTCTGCAACCCAACAAGTACAGCTGGGTTGTATCTAATGATGGTGTGACACTTCCACCTAGTGGTGAATTCAAAATATAGATTAACATTAACCACCTCAGTGAGTGGACTATAGGACATACTCTAAATACTAATTGATAGGCTAATTGATTGACACCCTATGGGACATGGGCACATACCCAAAAGCTACTTACAGCCACAGACCTATAGCCTACAACAGCAACTAGAGACGCAATACACACAATACACAAACATGTGAGCGATAATAGAATCACTAGGCTATTTATATTTCTGATAGAAATTGCCTCGTATAGCCTACTCTTAGTATAAATTAAAGTCCAAAGCTGCATTGACAACACTTAATTAATTGTACTTTGGACATGTAGAATATCCTACTAATGGGTGTAATCAAGGCCAAAAAAGGAAATGCACTTGTCCAGGAAGTTCCACACACATAGATGTGCAACAGCAGAGACGCACCCTTATATCAAGCTGTCTCAAACCACCCCCTCGCCCCTACCAATTCACTCGGAGGGCCCTCCGTTGTCACGTATTGTTGACGAAACTCTGAGGGTGACTTCCAGAGAGTGGCGAGGGGGATCAATAAACACATCAACTTCGGGACACACTCCTGACTTGAATGATGCAATTCATGTTCCACTTTTAAATAATACAAATTCTAATTAACAAATCCCCTCTGTCTTTTTACAAGAAATAAACATCAGTAACAGTTAAACATTTAATTTGGGAGGTATTTCATGTGTCAAGTCTCGAAATCAGACATAAACAAATGCACGTCATATAATTAGGCACGCCTTTCCATTATTTTGTATGAAATTGTGCGAACTCCGCAACGTACGGCACTGTTGCTCCCGAGTGGCGCAGCGGTCTAAGGCACTGCATCTCAGTGCTTGAGGCGTCCCTGGTTCGATTCCAGGCTGTATCACAACCGGCCGTGATTGGGAGTCCCATAGGGCGGCGCACAATTGGCCCAGCATCGTCCGGGTTTGGCCGGTGTAGGCCGTCATTGTTAATAAGAATTTGTTCTTAACTGACTTGCCTCGTTAAATAAAGGTAAAATAAATAAATAAAATATCACAGTGCGTGTTGGGATAGCACTTTGCTCTGGCGCAGTGGTCTAAGGCACTGCATCGCAGTGCTAACTGTGCCACTAGAGATCCTGGTTCGAATCCAGGCTCTGTCGCAGCCGGCCGCGACCGGGAGACTCATGGGCGGCGCACAATTGGCCCAGCGTCGTCCAGGGTAGGGGAGGGAATGGCCGGCAGGGATGTAGCTCAGTTGATAGAGCATGGCGTTTGCAACGCCAGGGTTGTGGGTTCAATTCCCATGGGGGGCCAGTATAAAAAAATATATAATGTATTCACTAACTGTAAGTCGCTCTGGATAAGAGCGTCTGCTAAATGACTAAAATGTAAAAATGTATCTGAAAGTGGGCGTGTCAACAGAACTGGGAGGCTCAACAGAAGTGGGTGTATAGTAAGCGAATCAGCTAATTGGGCAGATTTGTTGCCACTTAAGACCGTTTTGTGTGGCAGATTGGGCTGCACAACAAGTCGATTGTTGACAACTGTAGCATTCTAGCTAAACCTAACCCTTTTCCTAACCCTAACCTCATTCTCCTAACCTGCCACATTAATTATCCTAACCTGCTACGCTTTTTAGCTAAGCCTAACCCTAACCATTTTCCTAACCTTAACCTCATTCTCCTAACCTGCCACATTAATTATCCTAAACTACTACACATTTTAGCTAACCCTAACACATTTCCTGAACTTAACCTCATTCTCCTAACCTGATATGTTAATTATCCTAACCTGCCACGTTAATTATCCTAACCTGCTACGCATTTTAGCTAAGCCAAACCCTAACCCTTTTCCTAACCTTAACCTCATTCTTTTAACCTGCCACGTTAATGATCCTAACCTGCTATGTTAATTCTCCTAACCTGCTACATTAGTTATTTTAACCTGCTATGTAAACATTAAACTGGCCCGCAGTGCACCTGGCTATGGCCGTTCTAACCAATAATGGAGTGCTGATGTTACACCCATCACTGTTGATGCACCCACTGATGTTACACCCATCGCTGTTGATCCACCCACTGATGTTAGACCCATCGCTGTTGATCCACCCACTGTTGTTAGACCCATCGCTGTTGATCCACCCACTGACGTTAGACCCATCGCTGTTGATCCACCCACTGTTGTTAGACCCATCGCTGTTGATCCACCCACTGATGTTAGACCCATTGCTGTTGATCCACCCACTGATGTTAGACCCATTGCTGTTGATCCACCCACTCCTTTTGCAACGCCCACTTTCAGACACACTCCAAGTATGCAGTTACCCATACTTGATTGAAGTGGCCATCTGAGGGTCTAATAATTTTCACTCCCTCAGCTTTGGGACACTTGTGCAAATGGCGGAGGCACGCGTGAACGAGCAAATGGAGGGCTGAAGGGAAGGGGAAGGGGGTGATTTGGGATTCAGCCTTAGAGAATGATAGAGAAAGCGTCCCATTAGTTCCCATTATGGTGTCTGAACGAACGGGCAGCGCCATTAAGGCAATCTCTATTTTGAAGTAGTCCATTTTCTTCGTCACGATTGACTAATCCATCCTGATGACCCGGTTGGACATGACTCCAATAGGGTCATCAGGAGGAATCAGCCAATAAGGTTGGAAGTCGCACCCAGTTGACTACATTGAAATGGTGGAAGCCCTCAATGGCGCTGCCCATGCTACAACGGCCTTTTGGCCACTAGAGGCCTCTGTCATTCTCTATGGATTCAGCCAAGTTCTTGCTAAGATTCCCCGCCTATTCATTTCTAGTGGCTTCCCCGTTCGCCTATCACTCAGCGAGGCTGAATAAGGGGCCAGGGTGGATGTTGATTATCTCTATCAAGCAAAGGGGCCATCAGTCTGTCCAGTCAGTGCAGCGGTCCCTGGAGTGCAATACCCGCATGCGCAGTGCCATTAGGCTCGTCGGGTATCCTAAAGATCGTAAACCGAGAAGATGAGCTTGAGCAGCCAGCACGGAACTCATGCATGATTTCCGCTTACCTTTTGTTGTTTTTGCCAAATTCGGGGTTCATGTCGAATTGTCCGGCAGTGTTGGAGATCAACGGCTATAGCGGCAAAATACGGTAATTTAAAGGTGTTGGGCATCACATTGCACCGGATGTCATTACACGCACCTAAATCTCGAGAAGGTATGTAGATATGTATTTTTTCTCCATTGTAATGAAATGGTTAATACATCAATAAAAAATCGTGTGCTTAGGCTATCAGTCTTTATATAGGCCATTTGTTGAGCAAATTAGTGCACAACCTTGGAAAGTGTAGGCTTAGTCTTTTTTAATTAGTCATGAGCTGCTTTGAGGTATTGAACCGTTACCTTCTGCTACCTTCATTTTCTTTATCTATAGGTCTATAGGTAGCCTATGCATTTTTTTGTAAGAAACATTTCTCAGACAATGCTCAGGGAATTTCATTACTTTTCTTCCCTACTCTTTCCCTACTCTCGCTTCCTAAAAAACGGTGAACATCTATGTGAGCATGCATGACAGATGGCAATAATGTAGCCAGTAAATGTACTTGGAAGGAAACTTGGTAGTAGGCTAGCACATTGTTAGAATAAGATGGGTGGCACATAGAAACGCACTGGATACAGCCTATAAAATGTGTCTATAAAGTGTTGAGACTATTTTCATTACATTTTCCTACGAATAGGTGTCCTACTAATGTTTTTGTATAAACTGTTAACCACATTTTCCCTGTTCAATCAACCACACTTTGACAATACCCCATGCACGGTGTGTGCGCAAATAACCTTCATAGGGGCTAGTTATCGCATTAAACGATGCCCTGCGAATGTAGGTCGTCCGGCATTTGCACTTACATCTAAGCTCGTAGATCAATTGGATTTAAGCCTCTTGACCGCTCCGGCCGAAACCTGCTGACACACACGCCTCGGGTCTTTGTGTGCGCTCATGCCGGTTTCCATGCGCGACCGGGCCTATACGCTGGGTGACGTTATTTCTCCTCCCATCCTCTCCTTTCCTCTTCCGTTTTGAAAACAAAACTATACCCCCATTGTCAGTGAATGCATGTGTTTTTTTCAGGGTCCCCGAAACTTCCCCATACATTTTTCACAAATTCATTAGGCCTAAAATGATCTATAGGCACATGAGATGGTTCTAGTGTATGGTTCTTTAGGGCATGTTAGAATATGAATAATATAATAATAACTTTATTTGTATAGTGCTTTTCAATACAAGTAACAAAGTGCTTCATGTCATAAAATAATAAAATAAAAGTACTAACAAAGAAACAAAAACAAGAGGAACATCTTTAGGCCTTTGCATTCTCATCTGTGGTGACTTACACTTGTATTGTATAAAAACACCCCAATCCATTATTGAACTGATCCACTGAATGAATAATAGATTAATAAATGGACACCTGTTGTAAGGTGGATAGGGGTAGGCCAATGCTGCAATTATGTAATGTTGTTCTCTGTAGCTCATATTTTATGCATCAACTCAAATAATGCTCGAGTGGCACACATTTATCAACAACTTTTTAGTGTTTTTTTAATAATCTTGTCTCAGAATGGGTAACCATAGGGATGGGTAACCACACACATAGACCTACAGCCATGTGTGTGGAGACAGAGAGAGAGACCCTCTTATGAACATAGATCCCTCATCTCTTATCCTCTGTAATGAACTTAAACTGCTTTCACCATGGCGACCGGCCGGCCAGGTCTCTCACAGGCCTCTAATGCATGTTAGCATTAGCAGCAGCTAGCTAGCGCCTCGAACAGTGACAGCTGTGTAGTGGGGTGGGGAGGCACCCCGCCTTATTAATGGTTGGGCAAACACTGATCAGTTGTTCAGTCCTCTTTTCGATCTGTGCAATTAGTGTGAGGCTGGAAATAAACCCTTCACCAACAGTTTAGACCAGGGAATGTTCTTACCTATAGGTATTGCATGTGCAGAGTTTGGCAAACTCAGGTTTTGAACTTGATGGGCACCATGAAAAACTTAGTGCAGCACATGGGGGATGTGTGAAACCTACTCCTCAGCCTGAAGTGTCCCCACTTGCACCAGTGAATAGCTAGCGTTTGGCGTGGTGCAGACTGGTAAGAAGCTTCAGTAGGGCGGTCACGTGTGCTAGCAAGGCAGAGGTCCTGGGTTCGAGCCTCGGTTTGAGCTGAATCAGGAGAAAGTGGTACTCACTAAACAAGCAGCGTGATGTCCTTTACATTAGCACCAAATGTTATGTTAAGGTTTTCAATGAGCTAAAGGGGCTAATTACTTTTCTTGTCTAGCTTTCTTTTACGCTAACACACCTGTTCCTTTTCTAGATTAACTAGCTTAAAAGTGAGCTCAAGTAGTCTGTCATAAAGTTTCAACTCTATCTCTCACTGCAGCATAAGCAGGATCAAATCCAGACGCAGTCATGGAAGCTGTCACCCACTTTATGAATGACACGGTAGAGTTCTACAGATGGAGCCTTACTATAGCAGGTGAGTTAGTGCTGATCTCTCCTCTCTCACATATCAGGGACAGTCTGCTAATGTAACCACACACACATGCACACAAACCCAGGTACACCACACACACATACATAATACTGTTGACTGTGTCATGTGACTGTTATAATGTTATTTTCCATGTGTGTTTGACTAACCTAGAAAAAGTATTCTTCTTTTCATTTGTCTAACCTACACAGCACCCTCCAACAACACATAAGCACTGTAACTCATATGGTTGTCCCTATGTCTGCCTATGCTGTGTGTGTGGGTCAATCACCGTCTGAGCATTCAAATTGAAGAGATATTTAAATAGCTTGTTCAAATAACTATTTTTACAATACTCCAGTCCCACCTATCTACACTACACTCTATCTCAGTCTGTCTTCAGTTCAGTGTCAGTGTTACCTTCAAGCTACATGCACTGTGTGTGTGTGTGTGCAATGCAATACGGAGCACGAGACTTGAGTATACCCTCTAGACACCATTGGTGCAACATTATGTCTTACATTCATACATTACTTAGTCTTACATTCATACATTATGTAGTCAGACCACTTCTGACATTACCCCTGTCCTCTCCTGTCCCTCTCCCAGACAAGCGGGTGGAGAAATGGCCAATGATGTCATCGCCCGCCCCCACCCTGGCCATCAGCTGCCTGTACCTGCTCTTCCTGTGGGCGGGGCCTAAGTACATGCAGAATCGCGAGCCTTTCCAGCTAAGGAAGACCCTCATAGTGTACAACTTCAGTATGGTGATACTCAACTTTTACATCGCCAAAGAGGTAACCAGCTCCATTCCTTTAGCAGCAACAAGTAATTCAGGACATGTTCCATTTCGTTTCAAAAGCTGAAGAACATAGGCACATCCAGGTACTTTCCGCAGGTGCTGGTGTTGTAGCCAAATTCGTGAAAAAAAGAAAGGAAAACGCTGCACACTGCTGCTCATGCTCCCAGGTGATATTTATTTATAACAACAGTTCATCAGGCATCCATATCCCAGGTGGGGGTGGAAGGTCCTATATATAGGGGCAGTACTCAGTGACATCACTTCCTGAAACAGGAGGTAAAAAATGTATAACCTAGGTTCACAATATTAACATTCAATGTATCAAAATATATGATCATATACAAGGAATATGATCAATATTTACAGTAATATACATACAATATTCATACAATGTTCTATTAGGATTTTAAAAAACACAATTTGGACATATTGAAACTATAAAAACGGTTTCAAGTCAAACTCCTCGTTAAGGCCAAGAGGAGATAGTGTGTTGAGCCTGTGGATCCAGAAAGATTCCCTTTGAAGAAGTTTCCTCTCAATGTCCCCTCCCCTGCGTGACATCTTGACCATTTCTATTCCAATGTATCTCAGAGAACTAATAGGATGTCCAGCTTGTACAAAATGAACAGCAACCAGATATTTTGTCTCACCTGTCCGTATATTGCTGCGGTAATCACAGATCTGTGTCTTAAGGCTTCTGCGGGTTTTCCCTATGTAAGACAGACCACAAGGACATTTCAACATGTAAACAACATTGGTGGACATGCAGGTAATCAGGCCTTTGATCTTAAATATTTGTCCTGTGCGGGGGTGGGTAAATGAGTTGCATTTGTACGTGAAGCTGCATTGAGCACATTGGGCACATTTGTAATTACCCTCCAGAATATGGTCCAAGAAAGTTTCCCATTTCGTTTCAGGCCATGTTCTTTATGATTCCCAGTCCTTGTGTCAGTGTCTACAGATTGGAAAGGGCTTTAAAGTTGATAGCAGTATGACACCTGCTCCAGTTAATCTATTGGTGGGCAAGGTGGAGACATCACCAAATGGCTGATGTAGCATGCCATACACCAACCCTGCCTGAACTCAATACCATACATCCACTACAGTTACATCTATATAGTCTTTTTAGACTTGTAGGCACAGAGGACATAGGGTCTAGCGCACAACTCCAGTCCTCGATGGCTGCAGTCCTGGTGGTTTTCATTTATCCCTGGCAATTGCTTCCACACCCCCATTCACCCAAGTGTAAATTGGTCTCTGCGGCCCTTGAGGACTGGTGTTGTGTCTAGAGGAAAGGGACTATCCCTAACGTTATGTACTTAACGTTGTGTCCCTAACATTGTATCCCTGTGGTCCTCAGCTCCTCCTGGGTGCGAGAGCAGCGGGATACAGCTACCTATGTCAACCTGTCAGCTATTCCAACGACGTCAACGAAGTCAGGGTGAGCAAACATGACACACTACAGATGTACTATCTTAATTTGATCACTCTGTTGCAGATAATTGTCCTGTGCAGCAGGAAATGCAAACATGTTTGTATTCAAGTTTTAAAAAGGCTTCTAAAGTTTGTAATTTCCACTTAAACATTTCAGACTTGATTTCCCAAACGAAAAATGTATCAACACCTACAAAAATGTCCATTAATTATCATCCACATAATAATTCACATTTCCTATTGCTGCAGCATTATTCTCCTGCTGTAAGAAACGGGTCAAATTAAGATAGTACATCTGTACACTCTTTCCATCGATTTGGTGGAAAGACCAAGAGCTAGAGCTTGTCTGGTCATTCTGTTCATAAGCCATCAAAGACCGGACATGTTAGCCTTCTACCCTTTTAATTGATACAGGCTGGGTCTCTGTATTTGAGGTGTAGAGTGAGGTCCAGCTTTAGCAGCATGTGGTTCTCTGTAAGTCTAAGCAGCCGTGCTGTAATCTTATTGTTAGGTTAAGTAGACTATCACTGTGTGTGTGTGTGTGTGTGTGTGTGTGCGCGCGTGCGTGCGTGTGCAAGAGAAAGAGAGAGGCGGAGAATGTCAGAGATAGATCTATGGTGATTCCAGGACAGAGGGGGTGTGACCTTTAGCATAAAGGGGAGGAGTTATAAGGTCTCACCACTTCTGTCCCCGCCCATGGCATGATGGCATTACTGAGGGATAAGAGTGACACTGTGGCACTCAGATTCTCTCTGTGTGTCAATTGCAAAGGGATACGACAGAGAGAGTATGTTGGGAATGGATATGGATAGGCTACTTTGTGGCTACTTTGTCCAATAGATAGTCTGACATACAAGAGGTTGAGCTCTACTTTCCCTATAGGGAACAAGCCAGCAACAAGCCTGATACATCCCTCAGTTAATCTCAGGTATCAGGTCTTACTGTACCAACCCATAATCAAGACACTTTCTCTAGCTGACCGCAGGCTAACCTGCCATGTCATTCATCAATGACCCCTTTCATTGTCATCACTGATCCCCTATGGACGGAGTTGACCCTAACATTGTTGACTCTGACTTTATAATTATGCAGATGATCCAATCACCGTCTGAGCATTCAAATTGAATATATTTTTTAATAACGTGTGCAAATAACTATTTTTACAATACTCCTGGTCCCATCTATCTACACTACACTCTATCTCAGTCTGTCTTCTGTACAGTGTCAGTGTTACCTTACACTGAAAACTACACCTGTAGACTACGTGCACGTGTGGGTGTGTGTGTGTATGTGCATGTGGGTGTGTGCATCTGGGTGTGAGTGTGTGTCCTTGATGAATACTTGTGTGGATGATGCATGATGAAGAGAGTGTGGGTGAAAAGCAAGGTGGCTAGCTTTTGGTCTCCATAATCCTAACCAGTGGTGGAAAAAGTACCGAATTGTCATACTTGAGTAAAAGTATAGATACCTTGATAGAAAGTTACTCAAGTAAAAGTGAAAGTCACCCAGTAAAATACTACTTGAGTAAAAGTCTAAAAGTATTTAGTTGTAAAAATACTTGGGGTCACTTAGAAATGTCCTTGTTTTCCATGAAAACATACATGAAATGAGTTTGAATAGGAAATATAGCAAAATGCATTGGAAATGTAGTCATGGCCAAGGTTAGAAATAATACTTTTTAATAGAAATAATAATTGTGTCCTTCAAACTTTGCTTTCGTCAAAGAATCCTCCATTTGCAGCAATTATAGCCCTTTGGCATTCTAGTTGTCAATTTGTTGAGGTAATATGAAGAGATTTTTTACATTTTAGTCATTTAGCAGACGCTCTTATCTAAAGCGACTTACAGTTAGTGAGTGCATATATTTTTCATACTGGCCCCCAGCGGGAATCGAACCCACAACCCTGACGTTACAAGCACCATGCTCTACCAACTGAGCTACAGGAGGCCTGTAGCTTCCTGAAGCACCTCCCACAAGTTGGATTGGCTTGATGGGCACTTCTTACGTACCATACGGTCAAGCTGCTCCCACAACAGCTCAATAGGGTTGAGATCCGGTGACTGTGCTGGCCACTCCATTATAGACAGAATACCAGCTGATTGCTTCTTCCCTAAATAGTTCTTGCATAGTTTGGAGCTGTGCTTTGGGTCATTGTCCTGTTGTAGGAGGAAATTGGCTCCAATGAAGCGCCGTCTTCAAGATCCCTTTTACCCTGTACAAATCTCCCACTTTACCACCACCAAAGCACCCCCAGACCATCACATTGCCTCCACCATGTTTGACAGATGGCATCAAGCACTCCTCCAGCATCTTTTTATTTGGTCTGCGTCTCACAAATGTTATTCTTTGTGATCCGAACACCTCAAACTTCGATTCATCTGTCCAGTGTCTGTGTTCTTTTCTTTTTATTGGCCAGTCTGAGATATGGCTTTTTCTATCATCAAAATCGGAAATATCACATTTACATATGTCAGACTGAGATATGTCTTTTTCTTTGCAACTCTGCCTAGAACGTCAGCATCCCGGAGTCGACTCTTCACTGTTGACGTTGAAACTGGTGTTTTGCGGGTACTATTTAATGAAGCTGCAAGTTGAGGACCTGTGAGGTATCTGTTTCTCAAACTAGACGCTCTAATGTATTTGTCCTCTTGCTCAGTTGTGCACCGGGGCCTCCCACTCCTCTTTCTATTCTGGTTAGAGCCAGTTTGCGCTGTTCTGTGAAGGGAGTAGTACACTGCGTTGTACGAGAACTTCAGTTTCTTGGCAATTTCTCGCATGGAATAGCATTCATTTCTCAGAACAAGAATAGACTGACGAGTTTCAGAAGAAAGTTCTCTGTTTCTGGCCATTTTGATTCCGCAATCGAACCCACAATTGCTGATACTCCAGATACTGAACTAGTCTCAAGAAGGCCAGTTTTATTGCTTCTTTAATCAGCACAACAGTTTTCAGCTGTGCTAACATAATTGCAAAAGGGTTTTCTAATGATCAATTAGCCTTTTAAAATGATAAACTTGGATTAGCAAACACAACGTGCCATTGGAACACAGGACTGATGGTTGCTGATAATGGGCCTATGTAGATATTCCATTAAAAATCAGCCGTTTCCAGCTACAATAGCCATTTACAACATTAATAATGTCTACACTGTATTTCTGATCAATTTGATGTTATTTTAATGGACAAAAAAATATGTTTTTCTTTCGAAACAAGGACATTTCTAAGTGACCCCAAACTTTTTAACGGTAGTGTAAGTATCAAAAGTAAATGTAATTGCAAAAATATACTTAAGTAGTAAAAGTATAAATAATTTTAAATTCCTTATATTAAGCAAAGCAGACGGCACCATTTTCTTGTTTTTAAAACGTATGGATAGCCAGGGGCACACTCCAACACTCAGACATTATTTACAAAAGATGCATTTGTGTTTAGTGAGTCTGCCAGGCCAGAGGCAGTAGGGATGACCATAAGTGCTTGAATTTGACAATTTTACTGTCCTGCTAAGCTTTCAAAATGTAACAAGTACTTTTGGTTGTCAGGGAAAATGTATGGAGTAAAAAGTACAATATTTTCTTTAGGAATGTAGTGAAGTACAAGTAAAAGTTGTCAAAAATATTAATAGTATAGCAAAGTACAGAGATCCCAAAAAACTACTTAAGTAGTACTTTAAAGTATTTTTACTTAAGTACTTTACACCACTGATCCCAACCCAGTGGAATCCATAGAATCCTCCAGAATCCTCTTTAAAGTGTTTCAGGAAATTGGGAATCTTCATTGTCTTTCAGACTTGAGTCTCTGAAACCAGATGGTTTTGAGCACCAATGATGTAATCTTGTGTTAAAGCTCACTCCCTCCCTCTTCCCATTGACAGATAGCGTCTGCTCTGTGGTGGTACTACATCTCTAAGGGAGTGGAGTATCTGGACACAGTGTTCTTCATCCTGAGGAAGAAGATCAACCAGGTCAGCTTCCTCCATGTCTACCATCACTGCACCATGTTTATCCTCTGGTGGATCGGAATCAAGTGGGTCCCTGGAGGACAATGTGAGTACCTGGGGGGTACATTGGGGTTATGTGTGTGTGTGTGTTCGTGCATTTGTGTAGGGTGGGTGATTAAATGTTCCCACCTGGATACACCAGGTTAATCTCTACCCTTCACTATCATACTGTTCTGACATAGGATGCTAGCCACTCATAAGTAGCCTGACCTGTATCCCCTTGGAAATACAAAATATATTTTATATTAGAGATTCTTCAAAGAATGTGCAAAGCTGTCATCAAGGCAAAGGGTGGTTATTTGAAGAATCTCAAATATAACATATTTTGATTTGTTTAACACTTTTGGTTACTGCATGATTCCATATGTGTTATTTAATAGTTTTGATGTCTTCACTATTATTCTACAATGTAAAAATAAAGAAAAACCCTTGAATGAGTAGGTGTGTGTGTGTCTAAACTTTTGACTGGTAGTGTACCTTTATCCATTATCCCCCTCAGCGTTCTTCGGAGCAGGCATAAACTCATCCATCCATGTCCTGATGTATGGATACTATGGCCTGGCCGCCTTCGGACCCAAGATCCAGAAATTCCTCTGGTGGAAGAAATACCTGACCATTATTCAGATGGTAAGTCTCCCTCTTTCTGTGGCCATAGCACAGATGTTCAGGTAGTGTGTGATTGATACTGAAACACATCTTTGCATGTCAAAATATATTTCATTGTTTGGAGTGTGCAGTCTGACTCATTCATCATGGATTATATTGGGTTTATTACATTTGGATTGAGCATGTCAGGTCAGTTGTGTGTTTTGTGTACGTCACAGATCCAGTTCCACGTGACCATCGGCCATGCCGGCCACTCCCTCTACACTGGCTGCCCATTCCCTGCTTGGATGCAGTGGGCCCTGATTGGCTACGCCGTCACCTTCATCATCCTATTCGGCAACTTTTACTACCAGACCTACAGACGCACCCCACGTTCTGCCCACAAGGTGGCCAAGCCCGTCACCAATGGTGTCTCCATGGCAACCAACGGCTACAACAAGCTACAGGAGGTAGAGGAAAATGGGCAGAAGCAGCAGAAAAAGGGAAGAGCAAAGAGGGAGTAAGGAGAAGGAGGAGAGGATGGAGGAAGCCTCTGTCAGACCAACACGAGGACCGTGGGGTGAAAAGGCAGAGTAGATCAGGGGGTTCAGGGGTGAAAGTTCAAAAGTAAAATGGGATTCCACCACACCCCTTCCCCTGCAGGATGTTTCGAGGATGTGATTTGTGACCAATTTGTTTGTGTGGGGGGGCGTGATTTGGTGAGGTCTGTATTCTGGGAATTGGTAAGGTTTGGGTATGGAGGGATGGTGGTGGGAGGAGGGTGTTGGTTGTCTGTTTACAACAAAAGAAAATTGCTGCTCTTCATGTAGAGTCTGTGCTCTGTCTCTTTACTTTGGGGTCCTGGTCGAAGACCTTAAAAAGACCACAACACAACCACAGGGACTCCCAAACTGCTCAGCAGCCTCAACGTTTCCAACCAAAACTCCACCTCCACCATTTTGTACTTTTCTTTGTTTAACTCATTGCTGATGTAGTGATACAAATGCTTATTTATTTTTGTAGCATTGTAAATGATATTCTACGTATTAAATTATTTCAATGGAAGAATCTTCCAGAAATGTATACCAAAGAGGATTTATTTTTCATTGCATGATGAGTAAGGGAACTACTGGTAGAGCATTATTGAGGATTAAACAGTTGTTTTACAGTACAGGTGCTGTTCTCAATTCTATTTGTGTCAGTCCTACCTGTCTACCTGGAACACATAGACTAGGTGCAAGCTTCCTCTGCCATACACACCTGCCCTAAAGTACATAATAAACGCATACACAAACACAAGTATTCAGACCCCTTAACTTTTTCCACATTTTGTTAAGTTATAGCCTTATTCTAAAATGGATTCAATGATTTTTTCCCTCATCAATCTACACACAATAACCCATAATGACAAAGCAAAAACAGAAATACCTTATTTACTTACGTTTTCAGACCCTTTGCTATGAGACTCGAAATTGAACTCCGGTGCATCCTGCTTCCATTGATCATCCTTATGTTGTTTCTACAACTTGACTGGAGTCCACCTGTGGTAAATTCAATTAATTTGACATTATTTGGAAAGGCACACACCTGTCTAGATAAGATTCCACAGTTGACAGTGCATATCAGACCAAAAACCAAGCCATGAGGTCAAAGGAATTGTCCGTAGAGCTCAGAGACAGGATTGTGTCGAGGCACAGATCTGGGGAAGGGTACCAAAACAATTCTGCAGCATTGAAGGTCCCCAAGAACACAGTGGCCTCCATCATTCTTAAATGGAAGAAGTTTGGAACCACCAAGACTCTTCCTAGAGCTGGCCGCCCAGCCAAACTGAGCAATTGGGGGAGAAGGGATTTGGTCAGGGAGGTGACCAAGAAGCCGATGGTCACTCTGACAGAGCTCCAGAGGTTCTCTGTGGAGATGGGAGAACCTTCCAGAAGGACAATCATCTCTGCAGCACTCCACCAATCAGGCCTTTATGGTAGAGTGGCCAGATGGAAGCTTCTCCTCAGTAAAAGGCACATAACATTTAAATTTTTACATTTAAGTCATTTAGCAGGCGCTCATATCCAGAGCGACTTACAAATTGGTGCATTCGACTTAGGATAGCCAGTGGGACAACCCCCACCCCTTTTTTTATGGGGGGGTGGGGGAGGGGTTTGCCAAAGGGTACCTAAAGGACTCTCAGACCATGACCAACAAGTTTCTCTGGTCTGATGAAACCAAGATTGAACTCTTTGGCCTGAATGCCAAGCGTCACGTCTGGCACCATCCCTACGGTGAAGCACGGTGGTGGCAGCATCATGCTGTGGGGATATGTTTCAGCGGCAGGGACTGGGAGACTAGTCAGGATCGAGGGAAAGTACAGAGAGATCCTTGATGAAAGACAACGCAGGAGTGGCTTCGGGACAAGTCTCTGAATGTCCTTGAGTGGCCCAGCCAGAGCCCGGACTTGAACCCAATCTAACATCTCTGGAGAGACCTGAAAATAGCTGTGCAGCGACGCTCCCCATCCAACCTGACAGAGCTTGAGAGGATCTGCAGTGAAGAATGGGAGAAACTCCCCAAATACAGGTGCCAAGCTTGTGGCGTCATACCCAAGAAGACTCGATGCTATAATCGCTGCCAAAGGTGCTTCAACAAAGTACTGAGTAAAGAGTCTGAATACTTAGACTACTGTTCAAAAGTTTGGGGTCACTTAGAAATGTCCTTGTTTTCGAAAGAAAATCAATTTTTCTGTCCATTAAAATAACATCAAATTGATCAGAAATACAGTGTAGACATTGTTAATGTTGTAATTGGTTATTGTAGCTGGAAACGGCTGATTTTTAATGGAATATCTAGGCGTGTTCCAATGGCACGTTGTGTTTGCTATTCTAAGTTTATCATTTAAAAAGGCTAATTGATCATTAGAAAACCCTTTTGAAATTATGTTAGCACAGCTGAAAACTGTTGTGCTGATTAAAGAAGCAATACATCTGGCCTTCTTGAGACTAGTTGAGTATCTGGAGCATCAGCAATGGTGGGTTCGATTACAGGCTCAACATGGCCAGAAACAAATAACTTTCTTCTGAAACTCGTCAGTCTATTCTTGTTCTGAGAAATGAAGGCTATTCCATGCGAGAAATTGCCAAGAAACTGAAGATCTCGTACAACGCTGTTTACTACTCCCTTCACAGAACAGCGCAAACTGTCTCTAACCAGAATAGAAAGAGGAGTGGGAGGCCCCGGTGCACAACTGAGCAAGAGGACAAATACATTAGAGTGTCTAGTTTAAGAAACAAGCGCCTTACAGTGCCTCAACTGGCAGCTTCATTAAATAGTACCCGCAAAACACCAGTCTCAACGTCAACAGTGAAGAGGTGACTCCGGGATGCTGACCTTCTAGGCAGAGTTGCAAAGAAAAAGCCTCAGACTGCCCATCTTAATATTTTATTTTTATTGCCCAGTCTGAGATATGTTAATGTGATATTTCCGATTTTGATGATAGGGGAAAAACAATTTAATCAATTTTAGAATAAGGCTGTAACATAACAAAATGTGGAAAAGGTCAATGGGTCTGAATACTTTCCGAATGCACTGTACCTGGCATATGTATGTATGTACAAAAGAGTGCAGGAACAATGACAAGTGCATGTTGAGTGCATGGCAGTATAACTATAGGAGTTTGGGTGGGTAATCATATGTGCAAATTGTTGGTATATCATTATGAGGTTTGGGTGGCTACCATACTGTACGTGCAAGTTAGCTGACCAATACCTTTACTGCTAGACTGTTTATCTGTTTGTTTGGTTATCAAATTGGTCCTGTGCATTTATATTGCTGTCTTTTCTTGCTGTCGTGGAAGTTATGAGTTTTCTGCATAATTTTCCCCTTTTTTTTGCTGTGCAATGTAGCTATGGTGCAATTGGGAAACATGTCTAACTCAAGATAACTGGAGGACTGAGGGGGAAAAGGATACCTCATCCCAAAGTTGTTGTTTTTAAAAAACATTATATACATTATTTTATTTAAATAAAACACATACAGCTACTGGCTGCAGGTATAATGGGAATAAAGAGGATGCCAACACCCTCATTGTTCTTCATGTGTATGTTAGTGTATGTTAGTTTCTATGTTAGTGTCTATGTTTCTTCATCAATGTGTATCTTCGTTTTTGTCTTTTATTTAGGACTTTAAAAAATGAATACCTGAGCTAACCAATACTAAACTATAATATCAAAACTAAACCCTAAACCTTCAATATCCCCTTTCATAACCCTAACCCTCTTGCTCTTATGAATAGGATTCCTCCACCTCTTCTCTCCTCTCCTCTACCAGCCCACCCCATCCCCCTCTCCCTCTGTCCCTCGGGTCAAGCAGATTTCTGGGAGTGACAGAGAGGGAGAGAGGACGGCCTGGGGCTTGGCCAGACAGCTCTATCCTAATCTGGGTGGGGTAAATTGGCTTTAGCTGTTAAAGAGCTTATATCCACGTCACACAGCTAGTTAACCCAGGAATTCATGTCACTGTGGAAAAGAGGACCCTTTTGTAATCTTCCATTGGTATGAATATACTACACTGAGTGTACAAAACATTAGGAACACCTGCTCTTTCCATGACATATAATAATAATAATATAATATAATATGCCATTTAGCAGACGCTTTTATCCAAAGCGACTTACAGTCATGCGTGCATACATTTTTGTGTATTGGTGGTCCCGGGGATCGAACCCACTACCTTGGCGTTACAAGCGCCGTGCTCTACCAGCTGAGCTACAGAGGACCACATAGACTGACCAGGTGAATCCAGCTGAAAGCTATGATCCCTTATTGATGTCACTTGTTAAATCCACTTCAATCAGTGTAGATGAAGGGGAGGAGACAGGTTAAAGAAGGATTTTTAAGCCTTGAGACAATTGAGACATGGATTGTGTATGTGTGCCATTCAGAGGGTGAATGGGCAAGTCAAAAGTGCCTTTGAACGGGGTATGGTAGTAGATGTCAGGCGCACCGGTTAGTGTCAAGAACTGCAACGCTGCTGGGTTTTTCACGCTCAACAGTTTCCCATGTGTATCAAGAATGGTCCACCACCCAAAGGACATCTAGCCAACTTGACACAACTGTGGGAAGCATTGGAGTCAACATGGGCCAGCAGCCCTGTGGAACGCTTTCAACACCTTGTAGAGTCCATGTCCCGACGAATTGCGGCTGTTCTGAGGGCAAAAGGTGGTGCAACACAATATTAGGGAGGTGTTCCCAAGGTTTTGTTCACTCAGTGTATATATATATATATATATATACAGCTCTGGAAAAAATTAAGAGACCACTGCAAATTTTTCTTAAATCAGCATCTCTACATGTGGTCCTCTGTAGCTCAGCTGGTAGAGCACGGCGCTTGTAACGCCAAGGTAGTGGGTTCGATCCCCGGGACCACCCATACACAAAAAAAAAAACATGTATGCACGCATGACTGTAAGTCGCTTTGGATAAAAGCGTCTGCTAAATGGCATATTATATTATTATGACAGCCATTCCATTCC